AAAAWAGTACCTTCCCTAAGGTGTATTCCACAACTTCCGCGAAAGAGGCTTTCTGCTTCACTACTCAAGGCAAGCGATGGCACTGTTTGCTACCCAGGCTTCCCGCGGCACAACATCAGGGGCAGATTTCCAATCCTTTTATATTTCTCTGACGGAGGGCTTGCGCTCGAGATTTTAGCTTTAGAAATTAGCTTTTTACGGTGGCTAATTTACATTTAAGTAATTTGATAATTCGCAGCTGTTTACTGAAGTGATGGTGAATATTTGTTCTAGTATATGACTAATCAGTAGTGAGATAATATGGTATTCCTACCACTATTACTATATTTTCAGGCGCAAATTTCATGCACGTTGCTCGGAGGTAAATAGCAAAGGATATTCCGGCGGAGTTTGAGTGGCCAAGAAAAGCGCTCCTTCACAGTCATCACTGTTTTATTTCATATCAAATCCGAATTATCTTGTAATACCCTCCACCGACGCAGCACCACAGTTTCTTTAGAAACTTACCCCACTAAATGTTATTGTGGAATATTGGATACCGGGTGCCATGGGTAGCAATAATTTACATTGTGGGGTGGCAAAGAATGAGCGTTAATTGTTTTGGGATCTCCGTCACCCGCTTTTATGAGGGACCACTACCTGCTCCCTTTGAGTAAATCCGCTACAACGTGTACCCTTAAGTCCAAGCAGTCGAGCCTCATGAGGAATTATGATTGAAAGATAAATTCTTCTTCAGCCCACCCGTTTTCATTCGGATTAACCTTACAGAAATGCCCTTCACTTCTATCTATCCATACGTAAGTGAAGCCCTCTCGGTGCCGATTGTTTCCTCTGCTCCCGACTCTTTCCCAAACTGACCGCGTACGAGGAGCGAAACCTGGGGTGAGAAAGAAACCAGCTCTTCCGTTGCATCTAACTATGACCAATCTAGAGCTTGAGGGTTTTGCTTACTTGTGTTTCTTTGACGACGGATCTTGGTTTCAGGTAGGTAGAGTTTTGTTTCAATTCTTTTTACTCTGTGGTTCGTAGTTACTAGTAATTGGCTGCATGTAGAGTAATGACCTTAAAATTTATTGTTCAGATCAGAGCCTATTGGTCTTATCAAGACTGATGTAACAAGATGAAGATAAGCTGAATGCATGTTCCTTTGTAATTCTCCGTTATTTAATGAGTACCGTGAATGTGGACCTCGGTAGCCACGTATTCTGCACTTGTTACTCTTTAACGTTAATTAAGAGATTGTATGTAGTTTCTCTCCTTTTAAAATAACATAAAGACTGACGCCCCTTCCCCATGGATATAAACTATAGCCTCCATTTGGTGGGGATTTGTCCGTAGACATAATATCTGGGCAAGATGTCCGTATAACCCCATACATTAATTTTGCATAGAGACTGTTGCAAAGAAACCTTTATATTTAATTTAGTCTTTATGAAATGGAATGCATAATTAGGGTGTGGTGTGTTATATGGAAATCTTTCCTAAAATCTACTCTAAGACGTGGACAGTTTTCCAAGAGCTTTGAGGAACTGATAATGTAGAGAAGCTATCTAGTTTATATAATATTTTTTGCAATAAACAGGAAAAATGTTATAATCAACGTAAACTGTTTGCTGCATGGGATGTTTCCCTTTTCAGGGTTTTCTGGCACAAACAAACATGTCACTTCTTTTGCTCTTTCATCTTCAATTCAATTTAAAACAGAGACATTTTTATTGTATTAATAGGTGCAACGTTTCAAAAGTTGGGGGATATCAGCACATGTAGGGGTGTTCCTTGGATATTTCCCAGTAATTTAAGCCAGGGCATGTTAAATTATGCAATGCATTTTGACCAATTGTGCACAAGCAAAAATATTTGATAGATTATAAAGCTGGCTCCAAGTAGTTGATAAAAAAAGTATTGAGGATTAAAATTTTGAAGTAGCTCATTTGACTTTATGATATAGGGGGGTTTATTTAATTAATTGACATGAAACTCTACCACTGTTAGGGTGAACTAAAAAATGAGTGTCACTTTAACATTGTAAAAAAAGACATAAATGTGTATCTTGAAAATGATAACTGCAATCTTATTTGTGTATTACACTTGTAAGAATTAATGTTATCTGCATAATCATTTGTGTTTAGTGAAGCCAAAGTGTTTTAGTTTTAGCTCATGTTTTACACATTTTAAAGAAAAGTTGAGAATTCTAAGTTGCCAAGAGTATAGGTGTTACAGAAGAGTTACAAACCTAGTTGTGCTGATTATCCTTTTCTTAGGGTACACTACTGACCAGGGATAAAAAACAGTATGGAGTGATGGGTGAAGGTAAGCAATTCTAAGAAATCATGAATCCCTGAGCAAGTTTTCCAGTAAAACTTTTTACTTGATATTGAAGCAATACTTGAATAAAAATCAACCCTTTTTTTTTTTACAAGCATCAGTTACATTAATCCACCATTTGTTTGGCCCTGTGTTGCCCTTGTAGGCCTGACTTTGTGACTTTGTGAACTGAGAGCAGCCTACCCTTAATAGCCCATGCTATCTTTTGTTCAAATGGGGCCACTACACAAATTTAATGACCTAAGAATTTCTAAACCTTTAGCGTAAGATCAGAGATGTACTAGCTCTATGTAACATAGCAACTTTAATAATGAATCCATGGTGTTTTTATTTTCAGTTAACAGCAGAGAAAACACTATACAACACTTGAACTTTGCCATTCCAACATTGGTAGAAAATTTGTATAAAGACTATGATTCTCATTATTTTTAAGAATGTACTGATTGTTTGACAAATTCTCCTTGTTAATATCACAGGAAATGTGTAGAGAAAAGTCTGGAGAATATGATTACTAATGTAAGGGTGCAAAGGATTTAAGCAAGTTCAGTGCTAAGCAGCTCATTTGATATTCACCAATTAATATCCACTTCATGTCAATGCAAATAGGCTGCCTTTATTTTTATGATAATTCTCTCAGGCTGCAGGTCTTTGTCACTTCCACTTTGGTAGAAGGAACATATCGTAATTTCTCAGCATTAGGGTTGTAGATGTGGTTAGCATATGGAATAATGATTATAAAGTAATCTTTAATCTTTATATATATTTGTTATCATATCAATGTATTTTGCCTTCATTTATTTGATATGAGGTGAAATTAATTCTCAACAGCATGTGGCCCACCAGAGGAAGGGTTTGCTGAATGCTGTTTTGAAGAGGAGCCTTCATTTTACATGATAACCATTATCGACCAGCAAGTTGATGAAGAAATGGTGAGTCAGCATTTGCTTTTATATGCCATCCTGATAGCATCAGTGTCAGCTTTTTTGGAAGAACTTCCACCTTAGGGAAAGTATTATTCTTAGAAAGGTTTAGGGTTTGTGGGGTGGACAGGGGTTAGTGGCCTTGTGGTGTAGTCATTAGTGCTTTACTCTTGGGCTAAAGTACAGGTTCTACCCTGTTTTGTAATTATTATGATCATGATCCACATTTTTAATTAATTAACAGGAGTACAGCTCTAATATTAATATTAAGTCTAATTAAGGTGGCTCAAAGTTGTACTTTCATTTTTTTACCCCCTTTCGTCTGTGGTTTGTTGTTTTCAGGTCTTTTATTTATGTTTACTTGAAATTGGTATCACTAAAATGCCCAACCATTTAAAACCATCCTAATTAATAACAGGGTTCTTGCTAAGTTTTTTCATAGGAGGTAAAAAATAAGAAATAGCAGGTAACTTTGTTACCTTCTCCCCATGCTGGGGGTGTGCGGGCCGCAAAAGCTCACACCGGGGTCTGGGGGTAGGTTTTCATTGTGTGGACGGCATTTTGTCAACTGTGATGTTTCTTAATAAATGCTGGGCCTTTTTGTTTGGCCGCAAGGTTGAAAAAACCAGGATTTCTTCAACATGAAGTGTATTTTCAAACTAGTAACATATGACATGTGATAGATATCTTCACAGCATTGCAATTGGTTGAAGGGAGACAAGAAATATTTTTCCAAAAAATTGAAAAAATTGTTGGATAACTTTGGTAAATATTTCAGTCCCAGGTTTTATTGAAATAGCCAGTAACATTTACTTGAACAGCCGGTAAAAATAACTGGTTACCAGCTCTTAGCAAGATCCCTGTAGTAAAGATTTTGTAAATTGCACAAAAGTGGTTAAAAACCCAAGCAGTACAGAGTGAAAGTTCAACAAGTGTAAAACAGAATTACCCTGAGCTATTGGAATAAGACAGTGTAACATTTAGTAAGAGATCTGTAATTTGAACTGTGATTTAATACAAAAGAATCTCACACTATCTGTTATTTATATTTTCATGCATCCCACAAAAGTGCTTTGTTTTGGTATTAGCACCCGTCATGAGATGGTAAAAAAGGGCTGAATGATTTTGTACTGTGGGGCATGTCATCTCAGTACAAAAGTCTGTACTTGAGCCTACATGGCCCACCTAGCCAGAGCCTACCTTTGGTTTAATTTCCATGTCCCATAAAGTGACTAGGAGTTAATTACCTGACTCCCCCCTGGATGGGATGCTAGTCCATTGCAAGGTTACATGTACTCCCCAGCATTTCATCAGGCTTTCCTAACAGTTAGCTGGTNAAAATTCCTAGTTTTGTCAATCTTAATCATCACTGTCACAAGCATGTCTTTTTATATCTATTTAACAATTATTCCACGAGCGCGCGTTGGATATGAGATGATAGATAGCCAACGAGGCGCGTAGCGCCGAGTTGGCTATAATCATCTCATATCCAACAAGCGCGAGTGGAATAATTGTTTTATTAAAAACGTTAAATTAAATTATTAAATTTTATTAAATTTTTAGCTCCCTTTTAATTTTAAGCTGACACGTACGCTTGCCATATTTGTAGAATATGGTATATTGGCTGATATGCCATAATGGCTAAGCCAATAAAAAGTCTTGAATTGCATTATCCAATGATCTAGTTTTTAATAATATCAATTATCGGACATAAAACTCCAAGACCTTTTACAGAAAGGAACTTATGAGTTTCACTTTTGGTTTGCGATGTTACGGTTTGAATAAGCGGATGACAGTGTAATACATGCATGGTTATCAGGCATTAGGGTTAATATAATTCAAACTTTCATGCACCCTGAAGGCGTTTTATGTGAGTGCAAAGGCGGACTTCATGCGTAGAGATGTCAAAATTGGATGTGATTGAATTTCAAGGGTGATAGAGAGGTTGTCAGGTTGTACAAACTAAAAAAATCAGTGTATTTGTCAAACCGTGTACGTCGTATTCTTCAGTCCCAGATTTTGTGGATTACTTCGTTTCAACGTACCCTCCTTCCTTAAACCTAGTAATATCTAATTCAACTCCATTAATCTAAAAGCTAATTACTACCGAGGTGACTCTGTAGGAACGACGAGAAGTAGTTAACGGTATTAATTACACGGGTTTGTTAAGAATAAGGTCACACTGGTATACCGACGCATGATAATTGGGTTATGGAGACCTTCGTATCGAATCGTAAATCGGACATTGTAATAGCTCGCTCAAAGGCGACGAACTGCGTTTGAATCCCGTAAAAACTACTTAAATTATTGAAACGAAACGAAACTTTGAAGGTGCTCTAGTATGAAAGGTTATTTTGTAAAACCTTTAATATTAATTTGTGTAGTGACGAGTCGTACTTTATTTGTAGTTGATCAAACTTAAGCGAGTTTCAAATCGGGAACGAGACGTTTGATTAGTGGATATGCGAAGGTGGTGAGGTCGAAAATAAAGATTATCGATATCTAGATAAATGTATAATTGGGTATACAAACATACCTGTCAATACCAATCTCCTTTTTAGCAATAAGATTCTAGGATAAGG